AGCAGGTTTCACTTTATGTAAAAGAATGAAAGATTTGTTTGATAAGCAAGAGAGAGAAAGATGGAGCATGACTCTATCCTAGTGGTTAGGGAAAGCACTTGGGCGGGAGCAGCCTGTGTTCCTGTCTCTGCTCTCAGGACTGTTTATGCATGACTTTCAGGTAAAATATATAAACATTCCTTAGAGCAGGCCACTGCATTTTGCAGATGCCAATCTGCTAGGCATGCCCTGAAAACACCTATCTGATCCAGCCCCTCAGATTAAATGAGTGGAGAAACACCTATTGTGGATCCTGAACAGAGGTAAGGAGTCAGCTAGGTCCTGAGTCTAAGGTGTATCTAGGCATGCTCAGAAGCAGAACTTCAGGTGCTTAATGTTGAAAACAGAAATGTCTATGGATTTGAGTCACTTCTGGCTGTGTCTACATGAAATGTTGACTGTGTAGTAGCTCATTACTACTGCACAGTAGCGTTACATGGCAGGAAATCTGACACAACTCTACTGCGTAGTAGTAATGAGCTACGTGCAGTCACCATCACCTAAAAGCTATTCGGTGACGCTACTGCACAGTAACTCTGATTACTGCATGGTCATTTAGTACTTGTTTTTACAAACTAAATGACCGCGTAGTAATGACCACTCAGTCAGTCTCGTGTGGACACGGCCTTTGTGGTTAGGCAGCACCTGAAACATGTCAATTCTTTATTTAGACATATAGATCCTAGCTAAGTCTTTTTGTGTTTTTGGATCTAGATTAATAAAGCTCTATAGTAATTCCTTTTTGGAATTTAATAGAAAATATTTGTTTAATGCTTCTGATGTAAAATCCCACAGCAGAGCTATAAGACTACAGTGTATTAGAACTCCCTTTCCATTAAGCAATTAATTTTCATCCCAAACAGTAGCTAAAGGTTTCATTACAGAATAGATACAAAAGAATCTGATGAACTGCACACCAAATTTCCACACCAGTTTACCACACCAATTTCCCAATTTCCACTGGCTCACAGTGTCTAAAGGGGTCATATAAGTAAGTATATGGTTCTCCTTATTTCATAAAGCAAACATGACCTTTAGCCTGACTGCTTCCTTAAAACATATGTATAAAATAACCAAGCTCCCACCTCTCGTTTTGTTAAAATTGGAAACAAACAATTTAGGCATATTACAAAAGCACATGTCCTAATCTGTGGCTGTTGCTCTCATTCTTACCACAACAAACAGCTATCTTTTTGTTAACCTCCCTTTCCTTTTTCATGTCCTTGTGACAAGGTATTTAACAGCATGGGCAGATTTGTTGGCCTTAGAACCCGTGACACTTCAGCCGCCTTTTTTTCATCTTTTGCTGTGCTGTGCTTTGGCTAATAAAGTCAATGAAAGCAGATGTCGCCCACAGCTAACAAAATCACTGAGTAGAGAGAGTGCTTACATTGCCACAGCTTCAGATTCTTAAAAGCCTCAAAGCAGGGATTTTCTCTTTGTTAAGCATGTCATACAAAAGCAATAGGGTTTACAGGGGAAATACTAATAATTCTGGGGATAAACTCATTAAAAATGGCATCTACATATGTGCCAATACTTTTGCACTCTGTCATTTGCAGCTGGAAAACTTTGAGTGCAAGCACAAACAACACTTGTCTAACAGCTTGATTGGCACAGCCAGGTCAATAGAGGTCTAAATTTTGCAGTGTTTGCCTACAGTTGTTTATGCCTCATTTTGACAGTACAAAATCTTTGGCATTGAAATACGTGCCAGATTGACATGCTTCAGGTATCTGGCCCAACATTCACATTTTTCACCTCATAACAGCTTTAAAATCATTAATCAAATATCAAACCATCAGGAAGAAGTGACAATGTGGTCACAGAGAATACTTTAAAGGGCAGTGAGTGGGAACTGAATTACCCAAAAGCACGGAGGAGATACTATGCTAAACATTTTGCAAGGTCGAGGAAACAGAAAACTGAATAGGATCCTGATTGTTTAAGCCCCAACAGTTAGCAGATGGAGCAAAGGGTATTACTGGTTCTAAAGTGATCACATACATTTCAAGAAAATAAAAGGACAAATAGGAAAAGTTAAAGATACATTTATTTGCCAAGAACACAGTGCTGATAGTATTTAACTTGCACTTCAAAATAATAGAATCAGAAAAATAACTCTAGCCCAACCACTCTCAAGGCAAGACAAGATCTAAAGGCAAGACAAGGCAAGATCTAAATCATCCCAAACAAGTGCTTGGGTTTGCAAAGCCTAAGAAGCAGAAAATTGAAAAAGACAAATGCATTCATCTCTCATGACTTGTAGTAGAGATGATATCTTTTATTAGACCAACAAGATTTTTGCAAAAAAAAAATTATTTAATTGCAAGCTTTTGAGCACAAACACCCTTCGTCAGGCGTTGGAGAAAAGATTGTAAAAGTTCTCCTGGGTAGAAATGAAAGTTCATATTTCATAGGATTTCACACAGGAGTCAATAGATGGAAACTTGATCTCTCATGTGATCCTTTGCAGACTGTTGCCTGAATGCAGCCTTTCTATCAGTTAAGATGCTTTTGTTAGTTGTAGGTCACAGGATGCTACAGATCAAATAAGTGGTGTCCCTTACAACACAGGACAGATGGTGACACACAGGTTATTGCTTCCTGTGTGGGGATTTACGGTATGCACCTGGAAGAATGAAGTCCATGGACAGGAGTACTAAGAGAGTGATCATTTTCAACTGATGATTGATTTATGATTTTTATTCAAATTACAGTAGCAGCTAGAAATCCCAGTCACGGATCAGGCCTCATTTTGCCAGCCAAGTACAGACAAGTAACAAAGACAACTTCCATCCCAAGGAGCTCACACTCAGAATATCAGACAGGATGCGAGGAGCAGTGTGGGGGTGAAAGAAGGGAAGAGCAGGGGAAGAGGTAGGGAGGAATGAGGTAACAATAAAAGTTTTACTGAAAATTGAAGTCATGGCTTCTCATTTGTATAACCATTTAATTAGGATCTTCATTGTCTTTGGCATTGCAGCACAAACAAAGATTACTTAAAGATGCAGTATTCTAATGTTCTGAAAGCCAAATGTGTTTCTGCATTCAAGTTTTGGAGTTTCTATCTCACCATTGACACTACTTTATTAGTTTTTACTGTTGTTATCAAAAGAAAAACAGGTTAACAGTGTCAATGATGCACCAACTCTGATGCAAATTCTGAAAGGAGAGGAATGATTGGCACTTGCTTGAATGCTGCAATACATGTGAAATCCATACATGCAGATGTAACACTGTGAAATACTTGGTCCTTGATAAACCTTGATCACATGATCCAATACATCTGCACTGAATCATGCGCTGGGGATTTCCCAGCAGTAGTCTCTCTCTCTCTCTCTCTCTGTCTGTCTCTCTTCCTCCTCCCCTCCCCAACACACACAGTTAAAAACAATCCAGTCACTATGTAATCAGCAGTCATGTGACTATTACATTTTCTGTCCCCAAAGACAGAAACAACAGAGCCTGGATTCAAAAGAACCGTGGCTCAGAAACTGGTCTTTTCTGGGTGCCCCTCTAACACTTCCCATGTTCACAGGGTAGAACTGTGCTGTGGAAATTCATCACAGTTTAGAAATAAGAACTTATATAGACTGTATATTCAAAAAATTACTCCTCTCTAGTCACTAGAAAAATGATCAAAACAAATGTTTCTGAGACCACAGCTCAAAATGTCAGGCAGTCAAGACACCACTGGGATTTTGCACATGCCACTGAAAATAATAGCAAAAGCCTGCCTAGTAAGCTGCACATTTTAGGGGGCAGGGAGTAATTAAGTGTTAATTAAAGGAAAGGGTTTAATTTTTTTTGTATGTTCTAGTTTCTTTTGTTAAATGTTCCTCTTTTTCCTCAGTTGCAGAAAGGCCTATAATGTTACACAGTAGTAGATGCAGCTGTGTTTATGTCAGCAGCCTTTTCTTGTTCCTATCAGCTATCAGAGTTTCTGTGCTCTGGATATCAGAGGGTCCTCTGCAAAGAGAGTGAATCTCTTCATTTCCAGTGTCCTCTAGTCTGTCTACCACAATTCCTAATTGGCAGGCAGGCCTGAAGTATTACAAATAAACCAAATTCTAGAGTTGTGCTTACAAAATACCTGTTTCGAGGGCATAGGTGACACGTAGGGAGAACACAGGGGGCATATGCCCCCACCCACAAGATTTCTGTGCCAGCAGTGGGATGTGGGGTTGCAGCCTGGCTGGAGCCAGGCCCAGCAGCAGTGGGGGCGGTAGCAGCACTAATTTTGTGCTGATGGTGGAGCACCAGGCTACAGCCCGGCCCGGCCAGAGCCAGCAGTGTGGGCAAGGGCAGGAGTGGGGGAGTGGATTTGTGGCCCCCCCCCGCCCCCCCCCCCCAACCCCTTAATGTGTTGACACATTAAGTCAACACAATGTGTGGTTGAGGGAACATGATCTTTTAGTCATAGGAACTTTTTGCATGGATGAGAGTTTAGGGTAAGAGACCAGATAAAGATTTCTTTCTGAGGAAGTGGGCAGGTTGGGGGAATCAAAGGGAAGAATTGCTCTACTAGTCACAACCACTGAAGGCTCACAAGTTAAAGCACTAAACTTAGAGGTGTATTTTTGAGATACACTTTCTTAGATTACTATCCCCAGATTATTACTGCATCTACATACTGCATGTTGCCTGCCAACACGTGTAGTAGATTGCATCTCAAGGTAGCAGTTACCTTAACAGTGGGTACATAGAGTTCCTTCAGCGTCCCTCATATCTTGCTGCATGTTCTTAATCCCCATTCTTAAGGAAGGAAAAAAAAAAGAACATAATCTTGAGAGAAGGAGAGGGCAGAACCTCCTGGCATGCTGCAACCTGAACCACTGCAAAAGAGTGATGGAAAAATCAAAGGAAGAAATGCTGTATTAAACCCCTCTACCAATGAAGCACAGGCTAGGCACAGACAACAGATTAGATTTGCTTCTGGTTTCTGCTGTGTAATGAATGAGGTACAGAGCATGCTAATGAAAAGTCTGCCTGGAGGCCATTTACAGTGTCACAAGATGCCTGAAATCTCTCTTTAACTGAGGCTAATTGGACAGCCTCCTCCTCAGAATAAAGAGCAGTGGCCAGGGAAGAGGTGTGGCCAGAGGCAGGTGAGTGCAGTCATTGCATATCCTGGGAAAATGCATATCCTATGATGCATCATTACCTGTGGGTTAAATCTTGTGTTCCCAGCAGTGGGGTAGTTATTGTCTTCTTTCCTGAGATGCTGTACCCCTGTCCAGTCAGAAGACAGAAAATCCTGGAGGTGATGTATGGCCAGTATGACACTGGAGGATTTGATTTTGTGAAACTCCAGCTGCAGACAAAAGTGTACACACAAGACAACCTGCATATTACAGGTATTGGGGCTGATTCTTTTTGGCTAGAAGTTAGCTGCAGCAATCAGAGAAGACATTAAAACTAGCAATGAAAGGGAATGGTGCTAAGGAGACAAATGAAATACCAGTCCAGAAGACAGTACTGTTGGAAATCTGTTACAAACCACTGAATCAGACCAGAGTCAGGAATGAGTTACTCCTTTAAACATTTGTCTATAATGTGTTATGGGATTTCAATCTGAGATGCATACAACTGTAAAACATCATTAAATATAATATGTAAATTATATGTAAGCTATAATAAATACAATATAAATATATATATAATCATATGAGGTTCTAATTAAAGGGTTAGTTTGTTTCAATATCAACAAAGCACATATAAAATGGATTAAGAACTGGTTAACTGACCCATCTAAAAAAATAATGATCATCAGGGAACTGTTACTGGGTAGGGATGTTTCCGGTATGGTTCTACAGGGATCTTGGCTAAGCTCAATGTTATTCAACGTGTTGATCAATGATTTGGACATACTTGTAAAATCATTGCTAGTAAAATCTGCAGATGATGGAACTATCAGCAGAAGGTTAAATAATGATGAGAACAGGATAGTTACACAGGGCAATCTGGATTGCTTAGGAAGCAGGGCCCATTTAAACATTACAGGAAATGCAGAATTGCATGTCAGGAACATGGAACACAAGTCATGTATAAGAATGGGAGACGGAAAGCCTAGATTCTGAAAAAGATTTAGGAGTCAAGAGTAGACGAACAAGAGAACATGAGTTCCCAGGCTAGGGACAGACATTCAAAAAGCCTAAGCCTGAATTGATTCAATCTTTGCGGGTTAGGTTAGCCTGGTTAGGCTGAACCAGTTTGTAATCGTCCAGACATCCCCTCTGGACTGAGAAAATGCAGGCACATGCCTGCAGTGGCTCAGGCTAGAAGCCGGGGGGCATTAGAGCAGCCCTCTGTTCCCTTCTACAGTGCTGAGGGGAGGTGTGGCCAGGCCCTGGCAGGATGGTCTGATTAGGGAGGGGTTCCTTCCCTCCACCCCTCACTGCTTGCTCCTGACCAGCCCAGCAGGAAGTTGATAACAGAGCATTTAGCAACTCCCCAGCAGGGAGTTGATAACACCCCATCAAGAAAACAAAAGCCTCTCTCATTAGTTCAAGCCCTTCTTACACAACTTTTTCCAAGGAAGGAGTGGCAGGATGTTACCAACTGACCTGCTGATTAGCTTCAAAAAACCCTAACTGGACACTGTCCTGTCTGTCTTTGTCCTGTCTGCCTTACAGACACCTCTCAGCATTAGCTAGCGTGCTATATGCTGGCTATCATCCGTGCATGGGAGAGAGGAGGGAGGTGGGAATCCTTGCTTGAGCAGGAAGGGTGGGGGGCACAGGGAAGCCAGGCAGACCCGGTTGTGCCTGCTGTCTCTGTGGGAGCTCCAGCCAGAGAGCAGAGAGGCAGGGTCAGCCCAGCTCTCTGGGGCAGAGAGCCCCACCCAGGGCTGTAAAGTATCTGGGATGCTGGGGGACTTTGGTTTAAGTTAAACCAGGAAGGGGTCTGGAACAGACATTGCATAAACCAGTTTGACCCAAAGCAGGTAAGTCTCTCACTACATTCAGCCAGGTTTATCTCAAACCAGTTTCAGCCATTTTCAAACTGGTTTATGTGCAATGAACATCTGTTCTGTTACAGGCTTAAACCAGTTTCTGATCACTTAAACCAGTTTATGTGTCATCTCTGTCTCTAGCCTGGCCAGTGTGACACAGAGGCTGAAAAAAAGAATAGGGAATAGGAACAAGGGGTGTGATTTTTACCTCTGTATACTGCACTGGTATGTTCAGCTTACCAATGGAACATAATATTAAGTTGTGTAGTTTAGAAAGGATATTGAAAACTGGAGAGGGTTTAGAAATGAGGCACAAAAGCTGCCTACAGGCTGGAGAAAATGCCATACAGTAAGAGATTTACCGGGTTCAATCTGTTCAGCATATCAGAAAGAAGATTGAGAGTTGACGTGGTAACAATGAATACAAATACCTACACTACAGGGAGGAAAGACTAGATACCACAGGGCTCTTGAGGCTGCTGTGGCAGAGAAGCTAAGGTGTCTTCTACAGTTTCAGAGGCATGAGTAGAAGCTCTGGACTTGTGCCCAAAGCTGCCTCCCTTCCCCTTGTCAACACAGCGATAAATGAGTACCTGGTTATTCAGGCTTGGGAATCAAAGCGTGATGCTAGCCACATCACTCCTTTGTGTCATGACTGCATAAACTGGTCTGCCTTCACCACATGTCTGATAGGCTGCTAGGGCTCAAGCAGATCTTTGATCTTTTGACAGGGCTCTTTAATCTGGCAGGACAGGCAAGACAAGGGCCAATGGCTGGAAACTGACACCAGATGAATGCAGAGTGGAAAAAAGTCTTTTTTTTTAAACAATGAGGGTGATTAACCATTGGAACAAACTACAAGATATCAATCCTTGATGTCTTCAAATCCAGACCTTTCTAGAAGGTGTGCTTTAGCTAAGTACAAGTAACAGGGCTCAATACTGAGACAACTGGATAAAATGCAAAGGTCTGTGATGTACAGGCAGTTAGAAATTACTAACTGCCCCTCCCACCCCAACTCTGACCCTTTAAACTCTGGCCCATGCAGCATAGGGCAGTGGGGGGCAGCAGGGATCACCCCCCTCCCGCCCCACCTAGGAGCACCCGGTGAGTAAGGGATTTTTTTTAAAGGGCTGGAAGCTGGGGCTGGGCAGGGCAGCCATGGTGGGGGCTGGGGGAGCAGGCAGGGGATGGGGCTTGGCAGGACTCCCCCCATGGTCCCTTCCCCCTCCTCCAGTCCCCCCACCCGCTACTTACCAGCTCTGAGTCCAGCTCCAGCTCCGTGCCTGAATCGTCAAAGCTCTCTGAATCTTTTCCAATCGATTCAGAGAGCTTCAAGTCAATTCGGACCTTTTTATTGGTCCCCTGATTTGATTTGGATTCAGAGATTCAGCCACCGAATTGGGCCGAATCTCCTCTGAACCAAATCAGCACCCAAAGCTTCACACAGCCCTACTGAGCAACCGCAATGAAATTGCTCTGTGCTACAAAGCCAGCCCAGGAGGGGCTGTGCCACATGCCAACACTCCTGCTGCATTAGGACTCTGATCAGCCTAAAGGAGGCAGAAGCTGTCTCATGCTATGCAGCTCTTTCTGGTCAGGCACCCCACAATGCTCCTCCTGAAAACAGAAGTGGAAGAGACAGTTCCACCCACACCTCTTTCCAGGAGGAGCATTGGGGGAACAGACCAAAAAAAGCTGCATGGCACAAGGCAAGTTTGCAGCCTGCTTTATGTTCTTTAGAGAGCCATAATGCAGGGGGAGTGCTTGGGGCAGTTTTACCTGGCCACTGCCCCCAATGCATCCCCAAGGGAGGCATCTGGCACCCAAGGGTGGCACAGCACCCTGGTTGAGAGCTGCTGCCGTAATCTACTTATGTTGGTAATATTCTTTATTGGGTGCAGACAGAAGTTACGTTTGTCACATGATTGGCCCCCTGAAAGTACTCTATGGCTGTACCATGACACATGAGCACAGCTGAAGAGTGATTTAAGTGACCAACTGCACAAAGAATTGAACCTCATCAAATTGGATCAGATGAAGGTGCTTCACTTTGGAGCACCTTAGGGAACTTCTGTTACCCAGCCTTAATCTGTCATGCGATTAGGGGTGGGCTGATGCAGCCCAGCCCAGGCCTGCCCCTGGGGCTGTCTACAGAAAGGGAGCAGGAGAAGGAAAAAAGGAGTGAACTGTAGGTTGGGGTTTGCCTGGCTTCATGGCTGGATTGGAGCTGTTCCAGACTCCAGCCCCCCCCGATTCCCCTTCCTTTAGCTCAGGCCAGGCAAACCCCAGGCTGCAGCTTGTTCCCCCTCCCCTCTCCCTTCCTGCAGACAGCACTGGAGCTGGGAGGGGGAGGGTGGGGCTGGAGGAGAGGGGCTACTACTCCACTGCAGGCAGGCACGCCAGGCTGCTGCAACCAGGCTTGATCCCCCTCTCTAGCCCACAAGCAAACTTCTGCTGGGCAAGGGAAAGTGCTCTAATTCAAGGCGCTTTATGCAAAGTTCCATGAGTTCGAGCAGGGGCCTGCAGGTCTGGCAGCGCCCATTGTGTCCTTACACTCATCATGCAAACATGATGTGTTAATTACCCAATAAGTTGTAACATGCCACATGTTCAAGGAATTTATGACAGGGTAAAATGGCGAACCAGCCACAAAGATGTCCCTGGCTATAAACTGTGTGGCATGTGTCCTGTCGTGCACCAGGGGCTGCCCTCTGCCAGGTCTTTTGGAGGCATCCCCAGGTCCCAGACTTGGGACTCAGAGCTTCCTCCTACTCTTCAGCCTGAAGTTTTACATGCCCCCATATAGGAGGACCCCATTGGTTCCCTCTGCTTAGGGACATTTACACTAACACACTGCTATCAATGCAGCACTTTGCATTCAGCATGAGGAGAGCCTACCGATGCAGGGTTGCTGCCAATGAAGGGTTGCATCTCAGAGCTTTACATATCTTCACACAGGGGGAGTCTATCAGCTCCTTGAACTCAGAGCTATTTAAAGCCCTGCACTGCAGCTGATGCTGTAGCGTGAGCAGCTGGAGAGCAGGGAGCTCCTGATCCCCAGAGGCATGGCCTTGCAGTTCTGTCATAAGGATCTGAAGAATTTTATCTCCAATCCTAAAAAAATGGCATATCCTTCCATGCACTTCTGGCATGGTAGGACATGGAGTTTTTGGGATCAGGCATAAAATTTCTCAGATCCCAACTGCACAATCATATTAATATCTGCCAGCAGCCTAACTACTCTTAAGTGAAGGAAAGGATGGTAAAGAAAGAGTAAAGAGCTAGAGTAAAGAACCTGCTGATGTTGATGTTGGGCAATGCATTCACTCCGGTGCTGAGGATGTTTTATTTTTTTGAATTAGTAATTACTTAAGGCCATTGATGATTTCTTCAGCAGCA